TTTATAAACTCAATTTTAATGCATCTTATGATAAAAGTCATATTTTGATAAACCAAAACTTGGGTGATGATACTTATGTTTTAAATCACATTTGGCATGCATAAAACATAATATTAATATGTTGAGTTAAGTTTAAAAAACCAATATCATATATTATGTTTTTATGCAAAAAATAATCATTAGTTTTATTATTTTCCATTATAACCCTATAAACCGATTTTAGTTTTTTTAATAAAAAATCTTTATTTATTATAAATACATGGACTTTATATAATGTTTAAACACCTTTTAAACCATTTAAAATATTTTAAATTTGGGTATTTATAAGTTTTACAATAAAACTACTTTTAACAAAAATCGATTTTTAACCGGTAACCAGTAAAAACATTTTTCATAAGTATCCATCTACATCTCATCTCTAATAAGCAAATCAATTCCGAAAACACCCCTTTAATCAAACATGCGAAATAGAAATGAATAAAGTAAAAAATTGGAAAAAATTACCTATGGCGAGATGAGATGATGAACTTTTCCGGCCACTAGAGGTCACCGACGTAAACAAGGCACCACCCCTATAGTTTTTGCATTCGCCGTCGGTAACATAGAGTCCGAATATAAGTATTTGAATCAACGACAACGAGTGACAATGGAGACGGCATGAACCACTAACAACAGACAATGCTGGTGGGAGTCGCTAGGAACAAACAGATGGCGAAAGTGTGTTTAGATGATGAAGAACACGATGAATATGTCCAGTGAAAAGGGTCAATGGAATACAGGGTTTTAAAACTGATATTCTAAACTAAATGGATATTAATTGATTTATATTTTTACCATAATTAATTTAATGTAAGATTACATAATTTCCTTTTTAAATACTTAACCTACATTGATTCTTACATCCAAACAATAGATACTTAGAATACATTAACCTCTCTCTCTCTATAAATATATATATATATATATATATATATATATATATATATATATATATATATATATTATATATATATATAAATGTTTAAATGAGAACCACTAATTTTAACTAATCAATAAATGTATATTTATCATTTCTCAAAAGATGAATGACATTATTGTAGATAAAGATAATTCGTAGCCTAGTTTTATAAACAAATATATCAGATCTAAAAACCAGATCTAACACACCCTTCTTGTTATTTTTTCGTAAGGTGCAAAAATGAAATTCTCCCCCCCCCTTTACCACCTACATCCACCTTCCACAGCTGTCGTCGCCACCACCGGCGAGACCGTCACCACCGTTGTCATTCTCGCTTATGTATTCTACTACCACTCCCGATTGTCCATTCGGTGTGTCGAAAGTCGAAACCATCAGCGTTTTTCTCTCCCACCTCTGACTTCGTCTCCACTGCCAACACCACCGCATTTCGCAACCGGAAACCTAAACAGAGCTCAAATGGAAGCCATGTGTTTCACTCCATATGTTAAAATCCCTAACAATGATGTCATATTGCAAAATGTCAACACGACCAGGAGAAGGAGACTTTCCGTCTCCGCCACCGTTTCCAAATCAAAGACGGATATCGATTTGCTAACAACAGAGGGTAGGTCAACGAATGCGGTGTTGCGGACAAGAGAACAACCACCGCCGGTGCTTCGAGTGTCTCCGTCTTCATTGCAGAACAAATATGTCCAGTTGGACGCTGTTCCGAACCATAAGGTGGAGGAAGGTAATGGTGCTTTGAGTTAAATGGAGTATTTGACGAATATTTTGTCTTCGAATCGAGTTTACGACGTTGCAATTGAATCTCTGTTATCGCTCGCCCCTAAGCTTTCAGAACGGTTAGGTGTCAACATTTGGCTTAAACGAGAAGATCTTCAACCTATAAGCACACATCTAAACACGATTTCGCACATATTTCAATTCAAATTAGTCATAATAAACTTTCACAAACATCAAGATGTTCCTATTTATTCTATTCATCTCTGTTTCTATTATGTTTCATGTTATTCATATTGAAAATTTCTAGTTTAGCATACTGAATCATGATTTATGTTGTTCATCAGCCAAATTTTTTGTGGAGCATACAACATGATGGCAAAACTCCCAAAAGAACAATTATCACAAGGAGTTATCTGTTCATCAGCAGGAAATCATGCTCAAGGTGTTGCATTAGCAGCCAAAACACTAGGCTGTGATGTTGTGATTGTTATGGTAGTTACCACACCTCGAATCAAGGTTTGATACTGTTGTAAACTGCTAATGTTTGCTTGATTTTTTCAATCCATACTGATTCCACCATTGTTGAATGTTTGCCTAACACCAAAATTGCATATGTTTTTCTATGATCTTCAGTGAAACCACCGGATCTTCCGCCTCGTCGCTTTCTATCGCATCAATCTCTTCCTTTTTGATATCCGACAAAACATCTCCACCTGACGTATTTCAGGTTAGATCTATGTTGTCCTCCTCGGGTCCATCTGACGAGCATTATTGATCGATTCTACTTTATTGACGATGATGGTTTTAGATATGAATTGTTTCGGTACAGATCTACATTCTCTGACAATAGATCTAAGATCTCTGGTATGTCAATTTTTATATTGGTTTTTGTTATTAAGCTGTGAATTTAAGGTTTTAACTACTATTAAAATCATGATAAAGTTATCAATGATAATATTGTGATATATGTTCCAGAAAAAATAAGCAAAGAAAGATAAGACACAAAAATGCATTGTATCCTCCTTAGCGCTTGGTGGCGTAATAAAAACGAAAATGTGATGTCCTTTTTTTCTTTTACTTGATGTATCTATTCCAAAGCCCACACACAAGACCTGATGTGCTTAATATTGGACATCTCTAATTCATTATGGGCTGCTGAAAAATCATAAATGGGCGGTTGGATTAAAAACTTTGGGCTGCCAAAAAATATAACTTTTAAGTTGATTTTCCAAAAAAAACTATATTTATTTATTTTTATTTTTAACTGTGAATTGTGATGTTTTAATGTTTCAGTTATTGTTTAATTCTATTAAAGTTAGTTTTAATTGTTATTAATAAGAAATTTTTACTTTTAAGCCATAAATGCATAATTTGTTATAAGTTTTAAATTATGAATCCAAGTTTCTTTTCTTATTTGTTATAATATTTTAATAGAATTATTGCTCATAAGTTAGGTTTTTTAGTTGTTATGTTGTGAATTGTATTTATAATATGTTATTTTGTAAAATGTTTTCTCTAATAATATGAATTTAAGTTTTTTTAAGTTGTGAATTGTGATGTTTTAATGTTTCATAAATTATTTAGTTATGTTAATGTTAGTTTTAACTATTATTAATAAAAAAAGTATAAGTTTTATGTTGTGAATACATGACTTTTTTATTAATTTTAACCTGAGAATATATTATTTTTTATAAGTTTTAAGTAGTTTTTTAAAATCGATTTGAATATTTTTTTATAGAGCATACAATGTGTTTGATTAAATTGTGAATAAGAGTCCATAAACGCTTTATTAAACTATGAATTTGTGTGTTACAAAACAAGGTGTTTGAAGAAAATGCTTCAACAAATCAAATATGTTTTTAAGTTGTTAGTACTATGAATAAGAGTCCTATACTGTTTTATTAAACTGTGAATGAAATTATTGAAATGTAAGTTTTAAGATGATAATATGAGTTTTGAATATATTAAATTATGAATTAACTTTATTAAGTTGTGATTTGACTGTATTAAACGGCGATTGAAATGCATTAGTTGTATTAAGTTGTTAATTTTTTATGATTTTTTTTTTTGCTTCTGAAATATTATATGAAAGATATTATACACAAATATGATTGTATCTAATTTTGAATAAAGTATGTAAAAATTAAACTGTGTATATTTATTTAAATGAACTTTGAAGGGAGCACCAACCTATATATATTAATGTATAAATATAAGTTTTAAGTGAATGTATAATTTTTTTGTATTAAGTAGTGAAATTATTATATTAAGTTGTGAATTTTGTGTACAAAACTGCGAATGGACTGTTTTAAGCTGTGAAATTTTAATAAATTTTGTGTTAAAATATGAATGATTTATGTAAGTACGTTTATATTGCTTTCCTTGTGAATATATTTATTTTATGTGTTCTATAGATATGTAAGAATCTACTAGTTTTTATAATTATTTTGCACTAAACTCAGAATTAGTGAATTATATGATTTATTAAACTGTGAATATAATATTCAAGCTGTGAATTAATGATCTTATATACAGATAAAAATTTGAAGGAATAATGGTTACGACGATGATACGAGTGGTTCGTGGTGTCATGTTGTAGTTGGTGACTATAAAGTTTGGGTTTGACATCTCAGAATATATATATATTAGTATATAATAGATTGTATTAATTTGTGAATTTTATGTATTAAACTGAGAATGAACTGTATTATGTTGTGTATTTTATATAAATTTTGTTTTAAAATATGAATGAATGTATGCATAAAAATAATAAAATGTAAATTAGTGAATTAATATATTTATTAAGATGTGAATATGATATTTGAACTATTATTATGTCTTATAAAAGATGCATTCTTAGAGATATCTACAATTTAGAAGAGAGAAAGTTAAATTTGTCAAGACATAATTATATTTTTTTTATTAAATTTTACATATTTGGGTGCAAAAATGAAATTGTATGTACTAAAAAATATTACCCAAGAAATGGAAACAATAATGTTTTTTTCAATTAAGCTGTGAATACGAAAAGAAAAATGTCATGTGTTACTTTGTTGGCGGTCCATCGGTGGTCCAACGACGGTCCGAAGGTGGTGGTTTGATGACAACCGATAACTAATTGTAAACTAGGAAATATAAAAGTTTTTATTAATATAGTATTATTGTTTGATTTGTTCATATAACCCTAAGACGGTGTGGTAGTCTTTGTGCTGCACAACTGTGTACCTGAAATTCAATAAATCTTTATTACCATGAAATTGGCATCTCAATAGATTTACCTACATTTTCTTATATAAATATGTATCTAGCACTTGTAAACATTATTCCCTCCGTCTTCCATATGGCGTTTTTGTATTTCTTTCTCCTAGTTATTTCTTCTTGCGGTAATTACTAAAGAAAAAGTATCTTTAATTCACTTTAACTGTCTTTAGATATTAACGTTTTGTATTTTTCTTGCAGGTGTTGATGCAATGGTTTTTACATTGCAAAACAGATGCAACAAGACTATATGGCCGGGGATCCAAGCATCTGGAGGACAACCGCTACTCATGGAAGGTGGTCTTGAGCTGAAACCTCTACAGTCAAGGAATTTAACAGCACCAAAAGGATGGTCCGGCAGGTTTTGGGGTCGAACTGGATGCACATTCAATGTTTATGGTTTGGGAACGTGCACCACCGGTGATTGTGGAAGTGGTATCTACTGTAATGGTGCCGGCGGTGAACCCCCAGCTTCCTTAGCTGAGTTCACCCTCGACAGCCCTGTGGATTTCTATGATGTGAGCCTTTTAGACGGATACAACATTCCCATGTCGATAATTCCACAGGATGACTCTGGCCTTTGCCCCAGTGTTAGATGTGACACAGATTTGAACCTACATTGTCCGCCTAATTTGCTAGTTAGAGGGGATCGTGGACAGATTGTGGCATGTAAAAGTGCATGCACGGCCTTTCAGTCGCCTGAATTTTGTTGTACTGGGCAGTTTCAAAATCCAAATAGATGCAAACCAACAAAATACTCACAGTATTTCAAGCGGGCTTGCCCGACTTCATTTACCTATGCTTTTGACGACTTGTCTAGTACTTTTACCTGCCGAGAATCAGATTACGTGATCAGGTTCTGTTAATTTCTTTACAAGCATGTATCATTTCTAATTCTTCACCTGAATGATAAGATTACAGCAAAATAAAATATGATGTAATTTGTTAAAATAGAAGCAATGCAAATAAAATGTACTATACATTGATGGTTTATGGGTGAATGATCATTGGTGAGGCTTGGAATTTCTATTCGGCAAACGGGCAAAGTTTTATGAACCTATGTATAACGGTCCCAAATTGATTTCTATTATCATGGGTAGAACGCAAACATTTCAAGTGAGGGGCCGAAATTAGAACTTCAAAACAAATATTTGTTATGATTGTTACTCATTTCTAATACATGTATTTAAATGAGAGTCTTTAAATCATAGTATGTTTATATTTATATTGATTACGTAAATAGAAAAATATACTTTTAATAAAATATAAAAAGAACTAATTTAGACAGAAAGTTCTATAGAAAGGCTACAATTTATTAATATTTGTGTTTGTATCAAGTATTAAAATATATTTTTTATCACAACCTTTCTTATTTAAATTAAAAAAAATTATCATCCAACTAAAAATTAATAAGATAAATAATAATAACGTTTGTTATCTGCAATCAATAAATTGATAAAATGTATATAAATAAATAAACAAAGTTTTCTATGATTATATCTAAAGAGATAAGATCTGAACCCCCTTTTGTATTTCCTAGGCACCCCGACATAATTTTTTGTGTTCAATCTGACATTAACTTTTTATATTTCCAAAAAGCTATTATATTTCTTGTATAAGCATAGAAGGTATCCAAATCAGAAATAACAAAGCTCACACTTTAAACAAACGAGAGAACTTAATCGAAGTTCAAATATATATGTAAATTTACATTATGAGAAGAGAGTGAGAGAGTTTGACTAACTTGTGAGTTCATACAAGGAGAGTTGTAGACGACGAAACAACAGATACGACGAAATGACGAGAGTTGGGCTCGTCAAGACCAAACTCGAGAGCATGGATGACTACAGTGAACGGTATGACCTCTACGCGTTGAATGGAGACGCCGTCTTAGGGTTTGTTAGTTTATTTTTAAATTTTTTTGTGATTTGTTTTCTTAATTTTTAGTGGGCTTTTAAAGAAGTTTAGTAGATTTTGAAATGGCTAGGATCTGTTGGGTTTTTTTGGATTTAAAGAGTTTACATGTTTTTCATATTACGATAGAGATAGCTCCCGATTTAAAGATTTGAAGTATTATCTTTGTTGATTTACTTTCTAAGTTTTAAACAATTGTATTTTCATTAGAAAGTTGGTTTCCTCTGGAGTAGTGTTGGCTATCCTCTTATATTTTCTTCCAAAAAACTCATTTTTGGATATAGAAAAATAGGAATCATTGTTCTAAGTCTGAAAACCTGGGGGGCCATGGCCCCCTCTGCCCCTTAAAGGTTCCACCCCAGGTATTAATTTTAAAGAATCTCCGTTAAAGATTGATTTGTAATAAATTTTAAAAAATCTATGTTAAAGATCGATCGGGCTGAGCTCATGGAGTCATTTTCCGAAGAAAAATTAAATATCGTCTTACATTTTGTTTTTTTTACATATCTTTCTACCAAACTTAAAAGATGACATATGTCATATTTAATAAAAAATAATAATAATTTAATATACTTGTGGGACACATGTCAAGATTAGTTGGAGAATATGTATGAAGAAAAGTAAGAAGATATTTAATTTCTCTGTTACAGATCGGAGATTAAAGATGTTTAGTTGTATTGTGTGAATGACAAGACACCAGATCCATACATTCAAATTTTGGGAGTTGATTAAAAATAGTTGTCATTATGTTTATAAAAGATTTTAAGTGCTCCGTTATGTTGGCAAGAAGATGCAACTCCTCTCTCATATCATTGATTTCCGAAAATTAGAGACCCACTTATTTTTGAAAGATTATATCTCGGTTAATCTTGTTGGATGTCTTTATTAGGTGCTTTCTGAAGTGTTTGTCAATTGCCTCAAAAAAGTTGTAGATAAGATTATTAGTCGGGAGTAAACAACTTAATTTGGTGGCCGTAGTATGTTGGATGAAGAAATGAAAGAAAAAAATTAATCTTTAAGGTTGACTTTTATAAGGCTTAACTCTTTGAATTGAGAATTTTTGAACTATATTAGAGTAAATGGAATTTGGTTGGAAATGGAGTACATGGATAAGAGGTTGTCTTTCCTCTAGTAAAGCCTCCTTTTTGGTCGATGAATCTCCTACTAAGGAATTTGACATTAAAAAAGGTGTTCCACAAGGTGACATGTTGTCACCATTTCTCTTTATCATTGTCATAGAAATTCTACATGTTTCTATTAAGTCGACTTGTGATTCTCACTATTTTTGTGGCCTATCTCACTCTCATATCATTTATGCCGATGATGTCACTTAATTTTATTAACGAATGGTCGAAAATTAATTTTATTAATTTTAATTGTTTGCTTTGTTGTTTTTTCCTTGCTTCATGTTTGAAAGTAAATTTGCATAAGTAAAGTATATGGTGTCAGTGTGCATAATTTGCAAGTGGAGAGGCTTGCTAGTATTCTTAGATGTGAGTTACTTCGTTTCTGTTTACTTATCTTGGCCTCCGAGTTGGAGCTAGGCAAATACGAAACTTACTAAGAATTTGACTCTGATGGTAGATAAATTTAAGACTAAATTGTCTAAATGGAACGCTAAAACTTTGTAATTTTAAGGTCTTCCTACTCTTGCTAACTTGGTTCTCAATAGCCTTCCGCTTTATTATTTTTCTCTTTCTCTAGGTCCAAAAAAAAGTTATTAATGTTTGCAATGGTATTAGAATGAGGTTTTAGTGGTAAGAAGAAGATAAATTGGGTTGCATACAAGGTTGTAGAACTCGCTACTCGGTACCTGCTCGGCCGACTGGGGAGTAGCGAGTACTCGGGGAGTACTCGGATTTGGTAATTCATGTAGAAATATTTTTAGAAAAATTATATATGTCAAAATCATAATTTAATTGAAATATATAACAAAATTAGATACATGTGAATACATAAAAACTGAAATACACACAAATGTCTCACTTCATAAATAATTATTGAAAATTTAATATATATATATATATATATATATATATATATATATATATATATATATATATAGTAATAATCACATGTGTGTGTTAAATAATAAATCATTAAGTGTATTATACATATTAATCTTGAAATTCTTGATTTTTTTCTCTTTTTATGACAATTTTGACCCTTTGACCGAGTTTGACCGATTTTGACCGAGTTGGCCGAGTTTGACCGAGTAGGCCCGAGTAAGACCGAGTAGGTCCGAGTTAAAGAGATGTTGACCGATTTTTGAACGATTTTGACCGATTTTGACCGATTTTTGACCGAGTTTGACTTAATCCGAGTTTTTTCGCCGAATTCACATTACTCGCCTCGGTGGAGGGCCGATTCCGAGTAATCGGCCGAGTATTCGGCCGACTCGGCCGAGTTTTGCAGCACTGGTTGCATATGAGGAGATTATAAAACTAAAGGATAAATTAGGTCTTGGTGTTAGGTGTTTCGATTAGACAAATTTGGTAATGCTTGCCAAATGTTGGTGCTGGTTAAAAATGGGCATGAATAATTCTTGTTCTTTTATGTAAAATCCATTCATAACATAAAATTAATTTATGGGAAACCGGTGGCTAAAGAACAATAAACGGTTTGTTGTTATGTATTGCTCAATTGATCCAAATTTGGGTGACAAGGATATTTCGATGTTTGATTTTTTCAAAAGGGTTATGGGTATGGGGGATAATTTTTTTGTAAGAATGCTTGGTGTGGTAGATTTGTTTTAAAGGAGTTGTGTCAAAATCTTACACTTGCTAAGTCGGTTCTCAATAGCTTTCCGCTTTATTTTTTCTCTTTCTTTGGCTCCAAAAAAGGTTATTAATAATAGAAATAGTATTAGAAGGAGGTTTTTATGGGGATGTGATTAATATAAGAAGAAAATAAATTGGCTTGCATGTTAGGAGGTTATAAAACTAAAAGATAAAGTATGTCTTGGTGTTGGGTGTTTCTATTCGACAAATCGGCCGTGCTTGCCAAATGTTGGTGGCGGTTAAAAATGGGCATGATTTATTTTTGTTCTCTTGTATAAAATTCATTCGTAACACAAAATTAATTTATGGGAAATCAGTGACAGCAAAAAAAAAACAATGAAAGGTGTGGTTATGTATTGCTCAAATTGATATGGATTTGGGTGACAAGGATATATTGATGTTTGATTTATTCAAAATGGTTGCGGGTATGGGGGGACAATTTTTTTGTAAATATGCTTGGTTTGGTGGATTTTTTTGAAGGAGTTATGTCAAAATCTTACTCTTGCTAACTCGGTTCTCAATAGCCTTCCGCTTTATTATTTTTCTCTTTCTCGAGCTCCAAAAAAAGGTTATTAATATTCGCAATGGTATTAGAAGGAGGATTTTGTGGGGAGGTGATGAATATAAGAAGAAGATTGTAACATCCCGACTCCCAGGTATAAAATTTAAAGCTCTATATTCATATTTTTAGACCTACTCGACGAGCTGGCTGCCCCAACTCGTCGTGTAGAAACTGATCAGGCCGCGTGAAGATTAGGACCTAACCAACGAGTTGTAAGACCCAACTCGACGAGTTGAGGTTGTGCTTGAAAACCCTAATTTTTAGGGTTTGCACCCTATTTAAAGGACCTTAAGTCCTCCATCCAGCTTCCCTTACCACCTTCAAGTCCAGAAACAAACCCTAATCGAGCCAGCCTTCTATTTTGAGTGTGTGTGAGGCTAAAGAGTGTGTGTTTGGTACATTTCTTGAAGAGACTTGAAGATCGAGAAGCTGGGGACGAGAAGGAGCTTGTAGATCCAGCATCTACTTCGTTTTGGCATTCATTTGAAGGTAAAAAGTCATTACCTTGATCATGTTCTTGATAGATGTCTCCATTTAAGAGTTTAGGGTCATTTCTAGCTTATTCTTGAGGCATTTCTTGTATTTAGCACGTTTTGAAGTAAGGAGTTCA